AGGCCTCATGGGGGGCACAGGAAGGACAGAGGTGCTGTGGGGCTCCATGGGGCACCAGGATCATTGGATCTGAGGAGCTCAAAGGGTCCAAAGGCCTCAAGGGGGGCACAGGAAGGACAGAGGTGCTGTGGATGCTGTGGGGCTCAATGGGGCACCGGGGATCATTGGATGTGGGGACCTGGAAAGGTCCTCATGGGGGGCACAGGAAGGACAGAGGTGCTGTGGATGCTGCAGGGTTGAATGAGGCACCAGGGATCATTGGATCTGAGGATCTCAAAGGGTCCAGAGGCCTCATGGGGGGCACAGAAAGGAACAGAGGTGCTGTGGGGCTCCATGAGGCACTGGGGATCATTGGATTTGGGGACTTCAAAGGGTCCAAAGGCCTCAAGGGGGGCACAGCAAGGACAGAGGTGCTGTGGATGCTGTGGGGCTCCATGGGGCACCGGGGATCCTTGGATCTGGGGCCCTCACTGGTTCCTCACGGGGGCACAAAAGCACAGAGGTGCTGTGGGCACTGCAGGCACACAGGGGACGCTCCCCGGGGTGGTGACAAAGGGACCGGGGCCCTCACACACCACAGGCCTGGCTCCTGCCTGCCGGCTCCTCCTCCGTGCCCCGCGTTGCCGGGCTCTCCGCCTCCTCCCTGCGCGGCCTCGGAGGATCCTCGTCCTCTGGGATGGGGTTGTACCAGATCTCCCCTTCGCTGCCTCCCGTTCCGACCTCCGTTTCGCTGCTTCCTCCACCTTCGTCCAGCCCTGCCCCCTTTCCCGACGACAGCACCCAGTGCCGGCTGCTCCGCTCCAGGCTTTGCAGATAAGCGCCGTGCCCTGGGCTCCGACCCGGACCTCCGAGCTCCGCCGCGTCCGCCTCCTCCTCCTCCTCCACCGCCGGCTCCTGTGGCTCCTCCCCGCCTGGATCAGCAGCCGATGGAAGGTTGCTGCCGCCCATCTCGTCCCGTTCGCTGGGTTCCGGCCCCTCCGGGGTGGATTTAGGAGGAGGAGGATGACGGCCGGAGAAGCGAACCCAGTTCTGCCTGCGGGATGCTGGCGGTTCCGGGGTCGCTGGAGACGAAGCGTCGGGGGCTGGCAAGGGGTCGGGGCCGGGCTGGGGCTGCTCTGCAAGGGGAAGGGAAGGAAAAGCTCAGCCCCCCCCCCCCCGCCAGCATCCCGGCCCGTCCCTTCTTCCACCCACCCAGCCTCCTTTTGCCCCAAACCTCTGCCAAGAGAGATTTCCGGTTGTTTACAGCTGCTCTGCATCGCTCCCACCGTCCTCAGAGGGAAAAGGGGGGGCAGGGAAGGAGCTGCTGCACCCCGACAGACCCCAGGGCTGCACCTCGGTGGGCTTCGCTCCTCCTGTCCCCATTCCCCCCCCCCCCAGCCCTGCGCTCCCCTCTCACAGGCACCCAGATTCCCTGCAGTCCCCGGGTGCAGCTTCAATTCTGTCCCTGTATCCTCAGGAGACCTCAGGATGGGCAGCAGGGCTCCGGGGGGGGGGGCAGGAAGGACCCCAAGGTGAAAGTGGGGAGTCTTCTTTGAGGGCCAAGAGGGATCTGGGGTGGCATCGGGGTCCCTTCCTTATGGATCTGGGGGGATCTGGGGTGATGGGGGTCCCTTAAGGGGCAGGAGGATGAAACTGGGGTCCCTTCCTGAGGACAAAAGGGACCCCAGGTTTAATGGGGGTTACTGGAGTGGGGCAGGAGGGACCCCAGGGTGGCATCGGGGTCCCTTCCTTCTTGTTTTGGGGGGATCTGGGGTGATGGGGGTCCCTTAAGGGGCAGGAGGGTGAAACTGGGGTCCCTTCCTGAGGATAAAAGGGACCCCAGGTTTGATGGGGATTCCTGGAGTGGGGCAGGAGGGACCCCAGGGTGGCATTGGGGTCCCTTCCTTCTTGTTTTGGGGGGATCTGGGGTGATGGGGGTCCCTTAAGGAGCAGAAAGGTGAAACTGGGGTCCCTTCCTGAGGATGGAGGAGGGAGCTGGGGTGGTGGGGGTCCCTCCATGAGGACAAAAGGGACCCCAGGTTTGGTGGGGGTTCCTGGAGTGGGGCAGGAGGGACCCCTGGTGAAAGTGGGTCCCTGGAAGAGACACAGGGTGGCATTGGGGTCCCTTCCTTCTGGATCTGGGGGGATCTGGGGTGATGGGGGTCCCTGTGGGGACAGGAGGGATTTTGGGGTGACACTGGGGTCACTTATGGAGGAACAGGAGGGACCTGGGACTGATGGGGTTCCCTGTGGGGACAGGAGAGACATTAGGGTGACACTGGGGTCCCTTATAGAGGGACAGAAGGGATTTTAGGGTGACATTGGGGTCCCTTATAGAGGGACAGAAGGGATCTGGAGGTGATGGGGTTCCCTGTGGGGACAGGAGGGCCATTAGGGTGACACTGGGGTCCCTTATAGAGGGACAGAAGGGACGTGGGAGTAATGGGGCTCCCTGTGGGGACAGAAGGGATATTAGGTTGACACTGGGGTCCATTATAGAGGGACAGAAGGGACCTGGAGGTGATGAGGTTCCCTGTGGGGACAGGAGAGACATTAGGGTGACACTGGGATCCATTATAGAGGGACAGAAGGGATTTTAGGGTGACAGTGGGATCCCTTATGGAGGGACAGGAGGGACCTGGGACTGATGGGGTCCCTGTGGGGACAGAAGGGATTTTAGGGTGATAGTGGGGTCCATTATAGAGAGACAGAAGGGACCTGGAGGTGATGAGGTTCCCCGTGGGGACAGGAGGGACGTTAGGGTGACACTGGGGTCCCTTACAGAATCACAGAAGGGGCCTGGATGCGCTGGGGCTCCCTATGGCACAGTGGGACCCCTGGCTGCCCCCCGTCCCTCAGCCCGCACCTCTCTCTTTACCGTCTGATTTCTTCCTCCACGGTCGATCGCGGCCCCGTAACCGAGAAAAGGTCCTCCGCAGCAGCGGCTCCGCCATGGCCGGGGCCTCAGCTGGGCCTGGGCTGGTCCGGTTCTGTCCCCTCAGCTGGGCCTGGGC